TTTTATTTAAGGTTCGACTCATCATACACAATTAATATTATCTAACCATGTCACATTTTATGTTTTAGCTTAACTAGGTACCCTTTAATTAAATATGTAATTTATTTTCGGTGTGGGCCTTAATGGGCCTAAGGTCTAATTTTTCCTAAACCAATTTTCCTTTAGATTTTTATGAACCCTTTTATTCTAAACTATTATTTTGCATTATTTTGGGCTTAAATTACTAAATTTTGGGTTTGGAACTTGATTTAATCCTAACTCTCCAAAGTTCTCATTTAGGCCTAAACTTGACCTCTTTAGAATCATAATCTTTCCTCCTCATTTTGTCCTATCATTTTAACACTAGGTAGCCTAAATAGGTATTAACTATAAGAATCAATTTAACTAAAATTTGAGACCCGAATTCTCGCCCAAACCCGTATTGGGCCTTAATGGGTTGAAATTGGGCCCAAACCCATTTTCTTCAATTTTTAGCAAATCTTCCACTTCCACTCATCAAAACATGTTTATTCAAGTGTGTGTAACTCATCAAACTAGAAACACATGGCTTAGAATTCAAACCTTAAATTTCTTAGTTTAGGCCGAATTTAATCCCTAAAATTTAGGAGATTTTTCTTCAATCAAAATGAAAATTTTCATTCCTAAACAATAATTCATGCTTAACTAAGTCAGAATTGATTGCTAAAACATCAATTAAATAAAAACACTAAACCCCCATAGGGGTGAGCAAACGGTTCGGTTAATCGAAACCGAATAAAACCGAACCGAATTATGAAATTTGGTTCGGTTTTAAATATAAAATTATACAATATAAAACTCGAACAGAAAAAACCAAAATTATTTCGGTTCGGTTCGGTTTTTAGAAAAAAATTTCGGTTTCGATCGAAAATCGAAATAAAAAGTAAAAAATTTTCTAATTTCTAAATCCTTAACTTTTCAATCTTCATTCTTGTTGAAACCGAAACACGCAGATGGGAAGTAAATTTTGAGGACCGTTGGGGTAAGAAAAGAAAGTGATAGAGTATAATTAATTAGGATACGAGTGTATTTGAATGAGCAAATTTATTACACTTGAACTCGTTTTCATGAAAGCTTAGTTAAAATCTTCAACTCGTTTTGTGATTGTTTATAAAAAGGATTAATTGATAACAAGATGTTACTTCATTGGCTAGTGGACTAAGTGTTAGTACAAAACATCTCTCCGTAATGATTTTTTTTATATAGTAAAATATTTCGATTAAAACCAAAATATTTCGAAACCAAACCGAAATAATTCGGTTACAAACCGAATTTACGGAATTTATTTCGATTCGGTTCGGTTTTTATTTTTTTAATGTGGTTAACAAAAACCGAACCGAATCGTATAAAACCGAACCATTTAACCGAATGCTCACCCCCGCCCCTCCCCCCCAAATTTGGTATTTAGGCCGAATGGGTGTATTTAATTAACTCTAGGATTTTTTTAATTTTAACCTAAACTTTCAAGCCTAATTAACTTGTTTCCATCTTAATTACATGAATTATCGTTTCAAAATCATTTTCCCCAAATTTGGGTCACCAAGAACTCTAACCCTAATTTTTCTTTAATTTAGTAATTAGAACAAAATCAAACAATTAAACATGAAATTGACTTGAAATTAAACATTATTGTGGTGTAGGTGATATTAACTTGCCTAAATATGCTCCAATTAAAATTCAAAAGGTGAAAATTTTGGGAATTTCTCCTTCCTTCTTTTTCCTCTAAATTCAGACCTAATTTCAAAATTTTCTCCTTGGAATTCCTTGAGCTTCTAACTTGTTTTCCATACTTAGTGAGGTGAATTAAGGTGTATAGGAGTGTTTAGAGTGGTTTTTGAATAGGAAATCCTAAGAAAATTTTGCAAGAGTTTCCTTTAGGTTTAGTGATTTTTATGCCATTTCCTTTAATTTCATGCATACCTATTTATAGGCAAATTTTTGGTAGACCTTTGACTTCATCTCCACCATTTAATTAAGGTATTCTTGGAGGGATCTTGGCCATCAAATTAAAATTTAATCCTAGCCCTTTAAATGGTTAAATCTTAAACCTTTGATTTTTCTTTTAATTCTAATTCATCCATCTTGCATGCTTGCTAAACCCCTCTTTTTTAACAATTCAAAGTGCATTAATTAGGGTCTAATTATGCAGAAAATTTCGACTGGAAGGTGGTGGAATTGTCCAAAAGTTTTTCTTAATTTTAGTCCCTAATTTTCTTAATCTTTTCTCTAATTACTCCTCTCACCATCCTTCAATTTTTCAATTGATCACTTTAAGTCTTTCCCCTAAAGGTATCTTAATATATTTTAAACTCCTTAGGTTCATTTTTAATTTGAAAGTTGAAACTTTCAATTTTATACAATCTAGTCCCTAATTTCTATGCAATTAGCCCCCTAATTCTAAAATTTTATCCCATACCTTTCAAAATTTTAATTTCTTTCCAAAATAAATTCCAAAATTTATTAAGAATATTTAACCTAATGTTTCATAATTTTTGGATCCCATTTGAGCCTCTAAATTAATTATTTAGCATGAAAATTAGACTATTTCTTACATATAATATTCCTTGTACCTAATAAAATTAATTTAAATTTACTAAATTTTCCTACACATCCCATATGATTTTTTTTATGACCTTAAAAAAATTTATCATATTTCTAAGACACCTAATTTAATTATTTATCTCTAAAAATACTATTCCTACACATAGGAAATTCAATAAAATATTCACAACACATAGAAAAACTCATAAAATCACATAAAATAATCTAACACCCCTCAAAAAAAATATTCTAGGCAAAAAAAATATTTTTCATGCACAAACGACATACCTTAATTAATTATTTCATACAAAAACTATTATTCACACACCAAAAATCATTAAAATATTTTTCAAGCATGGAAAACCTATTTTAATCATTCTAAATATCTCTCCTAGTTTTCTATAATTATTTATCATTTTCAAGATATTTTTCATATAGGTTTTAATATTAAATTTTTATTAAGTTTCTATTTTAGCATGTATCAGTCATTACAAGTTAACAAAAAAATTGATGGATGTATTTGATTGGCTATTTTTTTAAAAAAATATAGTGCACTCAAATGAATTTAAGAGTTTGTGTACTTCTAGTATAATTATTCAAAAGTGATATAGGTTATCGCACATTTTACAACAATATTACTTTAAATCCACACACATATAATCGGATGCTCTATATTAGAATGGATTGGTTATAATTGATTGGAAAAGATATTAAAAATCAATGTAATTAAATTAAATAAATAAAGAATAATTTTAGACATTTGATGATTGTTTAAGATGGATTTAATTGGAACATGTTAGGTTAGAATTTCATATTAATTTCTTCTTGAAAAAGGTTATGTATTTTTATTTTTAACTTTTATAATAGCTTTAAAATATAATCCCAAGTCTTTCCTTTTTTTTCTTTTTGTAAAGGCATTGAGGTAAAAAACCACAAGGCTAAGTAAGGATCATCATTACTAATGCAGACCTCACCTCTATTGCTTTTGTTGTTTCTTAGTTTTTTTTTTTTTTCAATTACTTAGTTTTTCTTTTCGTTTAATGATTCATCCGTGTTTTCTTTCTTTCACAATTGTCTTGCATTTTCTTTTTTATAAGGTATTAATCTAAAGATAAAGGGTTTTTTTTTAAAAAAAACTTAGATTTGTCAAGAAAAAGTCCGAATTTACATTCCATGATCATATATGTTCTTTATTAGGTAGATAGTTGGATCTAAGTTCAAAAGCGAAGTATAGTTATTAGTATGTATTAGCTATTCAAGTACAACAAATTTTATTTACCACAACCTTTAATTCAATGGCAATGCCTTTTCACGGAGTTTAGTGATTCAATTTTTATAATCTATGTCATGTTAATTAGATTCCTAATTGAACTGTTCATATTGTGGTACTAAGAGATATTTGATGTGTTCAGCTTTTTAATGTACTATTTGTTAATTGCTAAGAACATAATTAATGATTGAATAAATTTTATTTTTTATAGTCTATTTTATGATTTAACTTTGAAGTTTGATTGTTAATAAGAAAAAGCATATCTCGGCTTTGAGTTGTAAAAAAAACAAAGAGAAAGAGAAAGAAAACATAAAAGATTTAGGTTATTTACAAAAGCACCCCTCATCTCCGAGGTTGCTATCAAAGTCACTATTCACTAATTGCCTCAATCAATTATACTCTTAAAAATAGGAATGAGAATTCACACTTTTTTTCTTGATTGTGAGGTGTTTCGTAATCATTAATATATAGGAATGGAAATAAAAATAGGAAACGAGAATAAACTTTTTCTAAGATTTCATTGCTTTTGGAGATGCGGGTTTAAGTGAGAATGACAACATGGGAATGAAAAAAACAAGGCGTTATTTTTTTTATCTTAAAAATATCCTTAGCTTTTAATCAATATTACTTTGATACCACTATAAATACTAACCATACCTAATTAGCCACCAACCTATAAACTCATCTCTCTCGTAGGTAGGCTTTTTCCTTCTCTCGTTTTGTTTTTTTTCCCCTATCTTGAAATAAATCTAAATTGATAGTGTTTTAGGATCAAAACTTGTATTTATGTACGTAACTTGTGGGGATTTAAGAGAAGGGGGCTAGTTTTTGATAAGATTAGAAATGAGAAGGTTTTTCTTTCGAATCTAATGATGAATGGGCATGCAAATATTGATGATTTTAAAAAGATTGTATTTATTAAGGTAGATGTTGAGTTTGGGTGTTGAAGTTAACTCTCCTACAATTTCTTATATATTGAAGAGTTTAGCAGACTTTAGGAAGTGTAAAGGAAGGTGAATGGGTTCGTGGGTTTTTGTTAAAATTGGGTTTTGGTTGTTATAATGTCGTTGTTAATTCTCTCATTGCTTTTTGCTTGAAGATTAAGAGAGTTGATGTTGCACGAAAGTTGTTTGATGAATTGAGTGATGAAAGTGTTATTTTGTGGAATTAGATGATTAGTGGGTATGTGGCTAATGGTTTTTCCGAGAAGGGAGTTGAACTTTTCAAGGAGATGTTATATTTGGGAGTTAATATGGATTTTGCTACAATGGTTAGTGTTCTTCAAGCTTGTGCAAATTATGGTGATGTTTCATTGGGTAGAGTAGTTCATGGTTTTGGAGTGAAGGCCTTGGCCCGAACTAATGGTTCCATAACCCAATTACAAACGGATAGAGAAAAATTATGGGCGGAATCAACTTTTGATAACAAAGCGAGAATCAAGAACAATATGTGCATAAGAAATGTTGTTATAAATTTGGGATATGGTGTGGGTAGCTATTGTACTAATTTAATAAATATTATTAAAAATATGGAGTGAAACACCCGCAAGATGGATTTGTTTGAAATCCGTTAGCACAACCATTTCCTTTTACACGAGCTTCAATGAAAATTTAAACTTAGAACATGTTTGTTGTTGAAAATTTAAACTTGGAGAAAATAATAAAAAAAAATTGTGTATAAAACAATTAGCTTGTTTTAACGAATAAAAAAAAATATTCTTATAATCTTTTTCTAAATTTAATTATTTTTATGACAACATTTATTATGATTGTTCAAGTATACAATGATAAATATATGATATCATTCCTATTTCTATTTGTCTACACCAAACACGGTAATAGTTATTTCAATGTTTCATTCCGATTCCTAATAGTAAGATACCAAACATAGTATCTCGATTCTTATTTCCTATTTTTTCATTTCGATTCCCGCATTCTTATTCTCATTGTTTCATTATTGATTACCAAACAACACTTCAAGTATTATCTAATGTTTTCAATTTTGTCTTTCCATTCATATTCATTAACAAAATATATATTAAATACACATACATAAGCTTTGGAACAATTAGTTAAATTCATTGTTTACAAATAAAATTTTAATTTAAACTAAAAATTTTTTAAAAAATTAATTGAATTTAGACTCAATTTTTTTTAAAAAAAAGTTAAAATTGAATTTCTCAAGCTTTTTTTTTTTAATTATTTACTATCAATCTTGTATCTTCCACTCTAAATTCAATAGATTTTTAAATTTTAGAAATTTTGAATAAAAATTGAATTGATGGGTATGATTAAAAATACTCGGTAACATTAAGGGTAAAATTAACAGATGTAGTTGATAAAGATACCATTGATAATAAGGGTATAGGTATGGGATATTTTTCTAGTTAAACAAATTTTATATTTTGTTTTTCTCAAATGCAAGAAAACAATTTAAAATAAATAGCGCAATTTGCGATTAATAAAATCCTCCGTATTGAAAAATTAAAATTGATGTAATCTCATGACGGCTAATTTTTCAATGCCAATATAGAAAGGAAAAACTTAGAGACGGATAAACTTCACTCCAAAATTCTACTATTACATTCAAAATCGAGAAACACATTACATACAAGTCCTATTCCATCACTGGTTCCTGCCCGCAAACCTTCCTTGATTAATTTTTAATCCCTTCTTTAAAATGATTCTCTTAATAGTTAACTATGCATTTACACTCTTACATTGCACGGATTCAATGTGTAATATACACACTACGAAACCACTTGAACCCAATAATTGTCTCTCTGTTTTAGGACTAATGGAGAAACAATCTTTGCTCCGTAAGGATCCTGTCTTCAGTGTCGAGGCTCTGGCATTGATCAAAAGAGCTTTGATATTGTCAGGCTTAATCATGAAAACAAAAGAAGCCAATGCACCTGCAAAGCCCAGAAACCTCATGGTCAAGCATGAAAGAAAAGAAGCGACTGCTCCTACAAAACCAAGAAACCGAGGCTGAAGAGAGTGGAGATTCAACTGCTCATGTGTATCCAATTAGGGAAGATTAAGAGCCAAGAACAAGCCAAATCAATTCCAACAAATCACGATCATGATTAAGAGAGTGGAAATCATGATCATGATCATCCTCTTAACAATGTCAATGCTATTATTTCTGTACCTGATCCTCCGGATATCAATAATGTTTCAACAAATCTAAAGTTGTGTCGTGAAACATGGCTTACCGACGACTTTGCTTTGCACAATTCCTCTACTTCTATTCCATCATGGAAAGATAACAACATGTCACAGGCAAAGTTATAAGAAGAAAGGGTGGCTTTAAATCTTGCGAGGATGAGGGAGCACAGCCCTGAATATTTGAAGAGGAGAGGAAACTTGGTGTTCCCACGCAATTGAAGTTGCATGAAGATCCATAGAAAATCAGGAAGGAGCTCACAAGTGCTGACATTGGTTATGCTCGTAGGCTCTCGGTGACCTCTGGTTTGGTCAAGAATCATCTTTTGCCTTTCTTGAAATTTAGTGATTGCAAGGCAATGGAGAGTACTCATGGCTTCAGAATTGTTGTTTTTTTTTATGTAAATGATATGACTAAGCATACATTGGTGGTCAAGAAATGCGATGATGGTTATACATTTAGCGATGCGTGGAGCTCTAGCTTTGTCAATAGAAGGAATTAAAATGAACTGACGAAATTGGTCTCTATTGAGATAGGTACTATTCGGGAATTCACGTTGGTTTCTTAATGGAGCTGAATCCATAACAATTCGATCCAGCGAGAAATCATGTAAAATGTCATTTTCGTTAAGGATTGAAACAGACATCAATTAGTTAATGAATATTGATTTTTCTTTTTGTAACTCGTTGACATCAATCAATATAATGATGGAGTTCCATTTTTATTTATTTTATCATCGAATTGAACGTTCTGCTCGATAGCATTTTGATTCTTATTAACTTTTTGGAGCATCAACTTGTTAGTTAAACTAAGCATTTTATCATTTAATACAATGTCTTGTTTTGTATATTTTTATCCTTATATTGAGCATTACAAAGTTTGTAAACTAGTGATAATGGTTCCTTATAAGAGATCTTTTTAATTTGGTGTCAAAGAAACCAAAAAAAAAAAAAAAAAACTTACCTCTTTATCAAAGAGTGCTTAACCAATTTACTTCCTTAATTTCAGTATTCCCAGACTCTTGATCTCTTGCCAAATGCCCTCGATTTTTTTTTTCTTTCTAATTAAGATGATTGTATTTTTGGTGTAAAATAAACTAATAATAAATAACCTACAATAAGGAGAGTCATTAAAACTCATGAACTTATTCTATATAACTAAAAGATTTGAGGAAAATAAACAGTAAAATATTATTTATTTACTGTTTATTTGTCTTAATTCATTATTCATCATGTGTTATTATTGTAATTTTCTTTTTCATTTATTACTGCCGCACACAGCGCCTGGCCTATATATATGTATCAATCAGGCAGGCGTGAGCCTGTCCTATATATATGTATCAGCCAGGCGCGCATATATATATATATATATATATATCAGGCCTCTCTTTTTTATTTTTATTTTCCCTATAAAATTACTGAAAAAACTAAAAGACCTGAGATTGTTACTATTCATTTACTGTAGTAATTTTTTTCTTTGGGCTTTCGGTTGGACGGCCAAGGCTACTTGGCATATGAGCCTGTCCTGGCAGCGCCTGGCCCTCGCTTTGTTTTTTTTTTTTTTTATTCCTTTTCCTTTCTCATTTATGTTTGTTTGTGTATTATTATAAAATTAGGTTTGAAAAATATTAATAACTAAAATAAATTAAACTAGAATTTACTTTATTAAAGTAAGTTCTTGATTTGAAAATTTACCTTGATTTTTTTCTTAAAATAATTATGTGGTACCTTACTCCGAGATGGACCAATAAATTAAGTGACTAAGAAGCAAAATTAATCAATTTAGAAGTATTACTTATAAACTAAAACGCATGATGGTTTCACTCGTTCGAAATGAACAGTGAAACTATCACGCGGTTGTACTATTTATTTGAACAATATATTTTTTTTTACTTTACCCTCAACTATACTACTCAATCTTAGTTTTTTTTCCTTCTTTTTTAATTTTCACTCTTACTTATTTTCTTAGTTTTTTTAAAAATTTTAAATTATTATTTTTTTATTTTTTTTCTAATTTTCACCCTTAGTTTTTTTCCTTGTTTGTTTTTAAATTTTAAATTATTTCATTTTGATCCTTAAAATTTTAAAATAAAAATTTTAATCCCTAGCCGAAGCACTATATGTCTTTTTTTTCCTTTGTTTTTTTTTTTGTTTTGTTTTTCTCATCAATTTATGTTCTTTTTTTATTTGATTGAATGTTAAAATTTTTAAAAATCGATCATTATTTTTTTCCACACGGCCGATGATTTACTTTACCTTCACAATATACTACTCAATCTTAGTTTTTTTTTTTCCTTTTTAAAAAATTTTACCTATTACTTTTTTTAATTTTTTTTTTACTCTTATTGTTTAAAATTTATTTCTTCAATTATTTACTTCTTATTAAAATTATAATCAAATTAATTTTTTGATATAATTTTATTTGTTAATAAACTTGGTTTTTTAATATATGAATTTTGGAATAAAATTTTAGAACATCGGCTTTTTTTAAAATATATTATTATAATTTATACAATAAATTATTTTTATTCTTTTTAAATGATTTTTTTAAAATATATTATTATAATTTATAAATTCCGATTATATATATATATATATATATAGTTTTATTATAAATTAATTATATATCCGTACATATAATATCCATTTTTTATTATTTATTTTTAATATTCTAAAATTTATTTTTTAAATAAAATAAGTTACATAATGTTTTGAAAGAACCTCCCAATTATTTAAATACAATTTTTTATGCTAATATTATTGAATATTTTATTAATATATACATATAAATCAAGCGATTTCGCTTAATATATACATTCAATTTATGTTAATCATCAAAAATAAAACTTTTACTCGTAGTATACCATACGAATCGTTAACGCTACATAAATAACGAGTGCTCGACCTCGGCGTAGCGCGGTACCCATCTAGTTAAATCTAAATCATTAAATTTGAATTGAATTATCATGATTTAATGTATAATAAAAATAAAACAACCTAACACCTTATTATTTTATTTTGTTTTCACCTAATCTAAACTATTAAATTCAAAATCAATAGAAAACATTTGGAACATAACTACATAACTAGTCATGTTTTTTAAAAAACATGAAAGAAACCACAAATTGTTGGCATAGTGGTAAGCGAGTTGATCTTTAATCAAATTTTTTATTAATGTACAAGATTTGAATACTTGTATAGCATTTGTTGGAAAGGGTTAAAATTTATCATACTTGTTTCGAAAATGATTCGTTACATCGTAATGTTCAATGAGATAGAGATGCTAGGAGAAAACCAAAAAAAAAAAAAAAAAAAGGCAAAAAACATAAAAGATTACCAAAAAAAAAAAAAAGTGGATTCAAAAAACAAATTCGTTACGATTCGAAAAAAAAAAATCAGTTTATATAACATGGTTCTTATGTATACTAACAATCTGCCACAATCTCTTTGTGAATTAGTTGAATTGGTTATTTTAGTATGTTTTAAATCTTAAGAGGATTAGCCTAATGGTTAATGACACATTTTTTCTTTCTAGATTTTTTGGATTCAAACTTTGCGATGATGTGAGAATAAATTTTTAAATTATTCTTTGAAAAAACTTAATTTCTATTAACATTTAATAAGATTTCAGAAAATCCCTTTCCAATGTAATATTTTTATTTTTATTTTTATCTTTGGGTCATGATCAAGAGTTTAGCTGGCTGTAGCGTCGGAATTCTGGGATTGTTGATTGGTTTGATCTAAAATAGGCATTGATTAGGCCCCCCTCCATCCAACAAATTTCTGAAGACAGGAGGCCATCTATTGTACGGTGAATCTTTCTACGACCAACATCTCTTGGCCACCCTTTTCTAATCCAACAATGGTCTCTAAAATCTCCTGTGAAGTGGACTGAAGTCTTGTTTGTTTAAATTGGGCTAAGCCTCTTCAGTTATTCGGCTTATCAACCCAAGAGTGATTCCCACCTATTTGTCGGGCATTTCAACATTACTAATGCATTGAATTTCCTTTTTTCCGTAAAAAAAAAAAGCATCAACTAGATCGAAAACAATTTGGTCGGCAAGTGTAAAACAAACTTTCACTTTCTCTTTCTCTTTCCAGTAATATTATGTCTAAGATAAAATAAATTGATCCCACAAACTAGTGTCGAAAAGGTCGAGGTTGTGTCTGACGGATGTCAAGTTTTGACATTACGTTTTTTCTTCGAAAGTGCATGACAGGGAAGTCGTACTTTTTTTTTTTTCCGTTTGTATATGAATAAAAAATGGACAAGTAGTATTTCCGATCTAAGAGATCCGCGGTTTGGTTCGATATAAATATATTGCATCATCGTATCTGCCGATGGCACATCCCGAAACTAAAAAGGCTAAAATGCTTCAACAATTTTTTTTCGGTCAAACTGTTCTGCATTTGGAAATAGAAGAAAACCGACTTAGGCTACTATTTTGTTCACGTACTTACCTCAATTGTTCAACTTTATCCCTATGGTATTTATACGTTCAATAGCGATTTCTGTTTGTAAAATTGGTTCATTTGAGGGGCAGTAATTGATTGCTATCCGATTGTTTCGTTAGTTAGATATAATATAGACATATAATTTCCACATATATGAAAATAGATTCACACATCAAATTAATGATGAATGTTAATTGAGTTATATAGTTTAAAAACATGCACAAACGAAATGATTTTTTTAATATCATACGAATTCGATTTGTATCATGATTTGATTAAGATTTGAAAGGATTTATACTCATTTTGTGAAAAAAATTAAATTTAAAAATTAAAAAAACAGTATGCTTCTCGTGAATACATATAAAAAAATGAAATGAAATGACTAATAGTGTGATTTGCACATATAAATCAAAATTCAAGTTAGAGGTTTTGCTTAAGTTGTTAGATAAGACCTCGAATATGATTTATATTATTCTTTAACACATCCCCTCAAGTAATATGATTTATATTATTTTTTAACACACAATCTCAAGTGAAAATTATTTGGGCTTGAAACTTGCACATGCCCACATTACTTTGTGCTTAATTAATTAAAAGAGAAATTGAGGTGGTAGGATTCGAACTCGCGACAATTTGGTTATCGAGGCTCGATATCATGTCAAAGCGATCATCTCACCTACAAACTTAAGTCGTTAGATAATGTATCGGGATATGATTTATATTATTCTCTAACATTATCATATGTCAAAATTATTTGCTCATGTTATAACTTATTAATAGAACAATAGAATGACAGTTACAAATTAGTCTCTATTTAACTTATTTTACAAATACTAAATGTTATTGAATAAATTATTAACATATAAGTAACTCTGAATAATCAAAAAAACGAATGGACAAACTGATAAGTTAGGTGCAATAAAAAGCAATAGTGGGAAATAAAGAAACTAGTAAAGCATATGAAATTGTTATTTTTTAGCGCTAAAGCATATGAAATTTTCAATTATAATGGGCAGATCAGTTCAAAAGAAAAATCCAGAGACTTTTTTTTTTTTTCGTTTTCAAATAGTTGGTCAGACATTAAATACGGACTAAAAGTATATGCCTTTCCAATTTGCTTTTAAAAATCGCTTTACAATTTCTTATCAACTAGGTTACACCTTTTGAGTGAGTTCGTCAAGATGGACTAGGCAAACAGCCAGAAGCGGCTAGCCCTTGCCTTTCAAAATTCAAACTCAACGCTTGTGCCTTATTTGTGTACAATCTCTTCACATTAGACCCCTGTTCATTCAGCAACTTAACTAAACTCCTCTTGGCATTTGCTCTAAACGGACAGTTTGAAGCCATGAACCCATCAACCAAGTGAAGGTATGCCTCCAAGTCATGGCAACATGCCACGTCAGCGTTGGGCTTCAGATACGGTGACATCTTCGTATCTACACGTAATTCTGTCCCAACATGTGCATAGGCCATTGGCATGTTGTGGTTTAGATCTTCCACCATAGGTATCCCTGGGACCCTAGTGATAACATCTTGGTCATTCACAATTCTTAACACCTTAACGTTTTTGGCATTAATTTGGTTCGCAAACCCTTTGTTTCCAACACGAGGACCACCAAAGGAAAAAACTGCAATTGGTGGCACTTGTGGTGCACATGTACTTAATTCATCACCTACTAATAGGGCCAAGGCTGCACCCAGGCTGTGTCCTGTGACTGTAATGCTCAAGGTCTCACCCTTGTATTGCTCCATTAGCCTTTTCACCTCTTGAACCACTGACTCGGCTAGGCTAGGCACATTAACCCCACCAGTTTTGTATAAGCTCAAGAACCCACATTCCACCTTTGGTTGGATTTCAGTCGGGTCCTCCTCTCCGTGCATTTCAACCAACTGGGCCCTCATATTTTCAGCCCATTCAAGACATGTAGAAGTCCCACGCAATGCGATAACGATGTCCCTCCTTCCCATCCGTTGGATCTCCCTCCGGTCCTCGCACACTGCAACATACCCGATCCAACTAGAACGTTGGGTCATCCACCCAAGATCCGGTGCCACGTCGTCCACCCACTTAGGCAACCCAACCGAGGAAGTCGCATAGAGACTCTTCGTCACCCTGTAGGACCTATCGGGAAGTGACACCTGTTGGGGTAACGGAGGTTTCCCTGCCGACATGGCTGGATTAGAATGAAAAGCATGGTAAGCTGCTTGAACAAACTCTCCATATCTCACCACCTCTCGCCGGAGATTCTCATCAAGTGGATCAAGAAGTCCCTTCCAATCATTGCTGCCGTGGTACTCTCGCCACCGAGTACCAAGATGGTTCCTCGGAGAATACTCCTCTGTCTTGGATAACAAACGTTGAAGCCTGTTTAGATGTCTAGGTGACATTTCCTCAGCTGCTTTCATTTCAGGCCAAATTCTTGTCAAATTGAGGCCTTCCAATAAATTCTTTCCTCTATTATTTGCCAACGACCCATTATTAGAAACTCCGTGAGCCGGGTGCGAGACAGTTTGGTTAATTGGTTCCGGGATTTGTTTTTGGAGGAGTTTTTCAAGATTTGCTAAGTGTTTCTTAGTTAACTCGGTTGATGTTGGTGATGATCCAACAGATTTTAAAGAATGAGTTATTGTTGAAGTGGGTTTTAGCGTAGACTGTTGGCGTTTGAAGCTGGCACGTCTGGTCTGAAAGAGGCGAAGATTTTGGGCTGGAAGTGTTGAGCTGATCTGCATGGCCATTGAGAGAATCAGATATTGAGAGAAGATAGAGAGAGAGAAGGGAGAGAGTCAATAAGAAATATCCGCACTCAAAATACAGCAGCTGTTATTTGAATCGATTGGAATTGAATTAATCAATAGGGGTATATATAGAGTCACCGTTCCCTAAATGCCCTCCCGTGAGTATTTAACTACATCGTGGAACCTTATGTTGACAACCTATAATATCGGAACCGGATAGTTAGATGGAGGGGTATGATTGGAAAGATAGTGAAAAGTTACCGACCATGTCTCGCATGCATCAGCGAGGGGAGCTACGCGGTTGAGTTAGTTTCATTTAAAAAAGAAAGTCATACTTGTTGAAGTCTGCAACGAGTGTGCATAAAATTAAACCAAAAAGGTACCTTTTTCTGGGAACCACAAAAAACAATGACCATAATTAATAACAAAATGATATTAACGACTTCATCAATTTTTTTTTGTTCAGCGATAAGGATGTCTGGATGTCTTAGTATCAGATTTTACACTTCTTAAAATTAATCTTTCTTTAAACGCATGTAAAGAATATTTTTAAATCCATCAGATATTTTAAAAATAAAATTTTATAAATATTAATTATAAAAATTGAATACTAAATATAATTTACAAATTAATATTTATTTATTAATAAATTATTATCTTATGATTGGAAAAAAAAACATTAATCAATTTTATAGTAATTAAATTAAAAATAGTATATATCTTTATAACAAAATTCATGATCGGACAAGCAAATTAATCAGCAAAACTAAAAATAAATAAATAAATAATCTCCTTTTTATAGATAGACGCAAATTCCCTAAACAATTCAACAATTTGGAGCCAGTGATGGCTTTGTTTTTTCTAGACTGTACGTACCATGTATGTTGGTTAAAGAAAACTAAAATAAAATAAAATTTTATTATGGAATTTTTCTTCATCTAACCGCAATGACCTTTGATGTATCAAAATAATAAACAGCGTTGTACGGATAGGAGGCCAGCTGTGCCAATGTGAAATGCAACATTTTATCCTCTACATCATCTACCCTTCTTAAAGACCTTGACATTAAAAAAAGAGTAACTTTTTACCCACTTATAATTATTTTTATTGATATTTACCTTATCCTACCTGTCAGCCTAGTTAAGTACCTCAAATCGTAATCGTCAGCTTAAATAGCATCGTTAGTTTTATAAAATTGCGACACGTATTAATTTTTTAATATCTTAATCTCATTCTTCTATTATTACTTTTTTGTTTTAATTTTATTTTTATTGAATTTAAATAAATAAAATTTGAAAATAAAACTGACAAAAGTTAACAAAATGACAAAACTAAAACTAAAACCAAACGTTAAAAGTAAATTTAAGATAAAAAAAATAAGAATACAATAAAAAAATAATAATTAGAAAGACCTTGCAATCATTAATTCTGTAATATATAAAAATCGCTAATATTTTATCAATGGGATTAAAGTTACATTATAAAAACAATTACACAAGAGATAGGATGCAGGCCATAAGCCTTTTTTCATTCTCAAAACTTCCCAATAACTTTGGAAATATAAAATCCAACATATTTTCATTCTCAAAATCTTCTTTCTTCCATATATACATATATTGTAAATTTTGTTTTATTATTTCAAAGGAGTCTAAATTCGAAATCGAGAGTTTCCCTTCAAGAAGACGAGGAGTAGTCAACTAAACTCATTAATTCAAAATGTTGTCTAATCAATATATATATATATATATATATATATATATATATATATATATATATATATATATAGTTTTGAAAGCCCCAATGCTAAGACTAACATTCTAATGCCACCAACAGTACCCTCTTTTAATTCGTCCCGATTTTGTCAATAGCTTTAGCAGTTAAGTCATTTGATTTCAAATAAAAAGACTAGTTAGCTAGTTTGAGGCATGCAATTGATCTCTTAACGAGCCCATATATATGACAGGAGTGGACATGGTAAAACTATATGAATATCTTCCAAACTAAATATGTTGAACATTGAATGAGTTCTTAAAGATAGAACCGTACTCTTAGGAGGGAAAATTCAAGTCAAATAGTTCTGTTATCCAAAGAGACTCTACTCGTCCATTGCTTGGTGGTCATCGAACGTAACCTTAATTAGACAACCTGTTGACGGGAACAAATTTGTATATGGTTACTTTGATCGGTGCTTGGCCGAAACATCCTCGTTGCGCAATGGTCTTATCCCAATTTCAGTGAAAAAAAAAAAAAAATTAATCAAACTCTTAAGTTCTAATTAATTATATACGTGCAATGGTTACGTTTGAAGTTTCCAATGAAGAAGATACACGGAAGATGCTATAATTAATTTGGAGTGCTTTCGTTCGTGTAAATATGATTTAATCATTTTTGTTTTGTTTAGTATGTATAATGAGTGGCTTATATAGCTAGATATTCAATAGATATGCCTTCCTTTCTCCATCAATGTCTCAAGCGACATTGAAACTCTTAAAGTTAAATATTTTATCCGTTCATAGTAAACATAATTACTGTTCGCTAGCAGCATTAACAAGGACGGCACTCTAGCTAGCGGTACTGCTACTGTAATTGTTATTAAAACGTGCAAACTATTTTTCTTATGTTAAATAGATCACGCAGACGCGTATCAATTACAACATGATCAAGAAGCTAGATAATAGCAAACGGGATTTTAAATGAACCTAGCTATATATATATACATCGCGTTCCTTTCTCCAGCATTTTTCAGAACAAAAAATTAGGAGCTGATCACATCAAAGGTTTTATATTTAATATGCCTAGGATCCTTTTCTTTCATTTGTGCAGCTTGTTCTTACAGTAGCGAGTTCGCTCACGTACTGCTTCGATTTTTTCTTTCATATTTTTCTGTGAATGTTTTATAATTGTGAGCTAGATCACTTTTACTGTTAATATATCCTTCCGCTTGTCAGTTGTCACATAGTTGAGACTGATCTTATCCGTTCATAATAAATATAATTAACTCTAGCCCACTAGTACTGCTACTGTAATTGTCATTAAAACGTGCAAACTAGTTTTCTAATGCATATGCATATCAATTACTGTATCAAGAAGCTAAGTTTTAGATCGATTTGGAAGTACTATATATTAAAACAATATAATTGTGCAAAAAGATACAAAAAGGTCAAGATTCCCGCTTACGAAGAAAATCGCCATACGATCACTTGGAACCAGTTATTCATCTGAGGAACGTAAGATCCTTTTTGTCATCAATGAAAGAAAAGAAAAGAAAACATCACATATAGTTCAGCTGCATCACATGCAAAAAACGTGCTAATTTTTTTTTAATATATAAATGCTTTTGAGATCTACCTTTAATCCATCTCCCTCGTCAAAAAAAAAAGAAAAAGAAAAAAGAACCGAGTACAAAATTATTGCCATGAGATCATTAGAGAATGTGGAGTAGAACTAAAGGCACTAAGCGAGAATATGGTGCTTTTCCTTTTCACTTTATTTCCCACTATCGATCCTGACAAGAACAGCACCTCGCAATATTCTGCAGGCTTTCAGAGATTCACTTCCTCCTGATCAGAAAATTGCAGCAGTGACGGAGAGAAATTCGACATGTTTTATTTTTGTTTTCTTTAGCCATAATGCATGCCTTCCTGGGTGACCACTGGTCACTTACACTCAACTCAAGTGATCAGTGCGTTGTGGTTTAGTTTAATTCCTCCTTATTCCCTCAGTACAAACTAGTTGGCAATAGTTGATTAACAATATATACGATGTAATTCAATTGATATTAATATTTTTTTTTATTTAAAAGATTTTGAATACAAGCCTTTCCTATATATCCAAAAAAAAAACTATTTACATACTTTTTTTTAAAAAAAAACTAGGTTAATTATAAATATCATATGTAGATGGTCCTCGTTTGAAAAAATATATTACTCCACAAATTAAAGCCTCCATTAATGTACCAAAATATCCTTAGCTAGCTAGTTTTAAATTTACGTACTTGCACAATACAAGAGAATTTTGGTTATACAATTGAGGACTTTTTATGATATATTTCTTTAAATATAGAGACTGTTTTATCAAACCTTAAAATTGGCCGATGCATTTAATTTCATGATATTTTAAAAAGGTTAATATTGTAATTCAAACAGATATATTTCCAAGTGTTTAAGCATCGTTGGAATTAGGCTTTTCTTTGGAGGCAGCCATGGTAGCTCCAGTTGTAAAAATGTTCAATTATTGACTCTTAAATTCCTTAGTTTTTCATAGCAATTGTTAACGGGACAATGACATTTGGAATATATGTACTTTTTTTTTTTTTTTTTTTATGAGAATGCTAACGGGACGATTAACTCTGCATTAGGTAGGCTCCTATTGATATTATTTTAATATTATTTTATTTTTTGTAGGTATAATGACATACGAAGTATTTGTATTTTATGATTTTTATATTTAAGTATTTGTACTCAGAAAAATTTGATCAACAAAGTATTTTTATTAGTTTTTCTTACAAAGAAGCTGACATGATATAGAGATATTTCTGTATCAAGTGGCTTTTTTTTTCGAGTAACTTAATTACTCAATCTATCCTTATATGATTTGAAAATTTTTGAATATGTCTTTATATTTTTAATTGTGTTTATTATATCTTTGTATAATATCTAATTTTTAATATATCATTTTGTCTAATCTTTCCATCCAAATTGACATATTCATTTTTTAAACGTCCTTGAGCCATACAAGAACATAATTTTAATTTTTTTAAAAAAATTCCTAAAATTTAATTGTTTTGTAATTTTGATTTTTTAAAACTCTTAAAACATTTTGAACATTTTTTCTATTATGTTCTCATATAAATCAAGTGTATTTTTAGAATAAAAATGTAAGTCTATCAATTTGAATGGAAAACTTAATAAAAGGACATATTAGAAAATTATATATTATACAATTATATAATAGATATAATTAGAAACATAAGAACGTATAGGAGATTCTTTTCATTATAT